TTGTCTTTAAGTACAGGTTCCCAAGGCCTGGGGTGCTTAATGTGTGGCTTGATCTCTTTGTTCCTCAGGGAGGACCTTCCCACTTGTGATATCCTTCCCACTTGTAGGTCCCTACACCAGGGGTTCGGTTCACAAACTCCATCTCTGCCAGCTTCTTACCTTCTCAGTGTGGCTCCTTTTTTGTCTTTAGCTATGGATGGTCTGTTCTGTTAATCTTCAGGCCATTTTCAGAATGACTTGCCTTATATGTACCTGTTGCCTCAGTGTGTCATGGGTAGAGGTAAGCTCAGGATCCTTCTACTCTGCCATCCTCATAGAACTCTTGTGTCAACATAGTCTTCATTTCTTTTTTGATTTCTTCCTTGACTCATTGGTTGTGGGAGGTAAGATTTTATATTTTAGTTGAACTGGTGAAAGATGATAACATTAGACAGTGATAACTAATGTACAAATGTATATATGTATCTAGATACATAATATCTAGAGAAATAAAAAGAGATAAATTTAAAACACTATGGATACATCAAATGTAATTCTAAAAAAAATACATAGAGAGCTACAGAAAACCAGAAATGGAGAAAACCAACTGAAAAGAAAAAAAGAAAGTGGCAGAGTTAAACCTTAATGTAGGAATAATTACCTTAAATGTAAATGGTCAAAATACACAAAGAGTTGCCAGAGTGGATTAAAAAATAAGACCCTACTGTATGCTTTCTTTCAAAAACTCTAAATCTAACCATATATGTAGATTAAAACTAAAAGGACAGAAAAAGGCCTATCATGGAAATGTGAATCAAAAGAAAGCAGTAATGGCTGTATAAATATCAGATAAAGTAGATTTCATAGCAAAAAATAAAATTACTGGACTGGGACATTATATAATGATAAAAGGGTCAACCCACCTAAGAGATCTAGCAATCCTAAATGTATGTACCAAAGAAGATAGTAATAAAACATGTGATTCAAAAACTGATGGAACCAAAAAGAAAAATAGACAAATTCACAGTTCAAGTTGGAGACCTCATTGCTCCCTTCTGAGAAATTGAAAGAACAAGCAGATAAGAAATTAGCAAGGATATGGAAGGATTCAGTCCCATCAACCAGGAGGATCTAATCAACATTTATAGAACACTCCATGCAACAACAGCAGAATTCACATTCTTTTCAAATGCTCATGAAACATAGACCGTGATATATCATATCCTGGACCATAGACAACCTTAACAAATATAAGAGATGTGAAATGGTACAGAGTATGTTCTTTGTTGACAGTAGAATCAAAAAGAAATCAATAATGGAAACATAATAGGAAAATTTCAGCACTCTGAAACTGAAAAGCACATCTTTAAATATCCCATGAGTCAAAGAAGTAGTCTCAAGGGAAACAAAACATAGAGAACTTAATGAAAATGAGAATAAAACATACCAAAATCTGTGGGAACAGCCAAAGCAGTTCTCAGAGGGAAATTGATCGCACTGAAAATGCATGCATTAAAAAAGGAAAGTGTCAAATTGGTAATCTAGGTTTCCACTTTAAGAACCTAGAGAAAAGAAGAGCAAAATAGTTACAAAGCAACCAGAAAGAAATAATAAAGAGCAAAGTCTATGAAATTTAAAAAATAGAGAAAAATCACTGAAACTAAGTTAATTCTTGAAAGATTAGTGAGAAGGCAAGTTACCATTATCAGGAATAAAATGGGCTACCACTACATCCTCTGCAGACATTAAAAGAATAATAGGCAATATCAAAACAAGAAACAACCTCTACACACATAAATTTGACACCTAGAAGAACTGGACCAATTCCTCAAAAACCAGAACTATTACAAATCATCCAATAAGAAATAACTTTTCGAACTGATGTATAATACTGTATTAGTTTTAGTTGTGCAGCATCGTGAGTTTAGGCATAGATGGAGAAATGATTATCACAATTTTAGGTAGCACCCACCCTAAAGAAGAAAAACATTGTGTTAACTGATGCATGCAAAACATTTTACCAAATTCAATGCCCATTTCTGATAAGAACTCTCAGAATTAGAAACAGAGGGTAAGTGCCTCAATTTGCATGAAGAACATCACCCGAAAGCTACATAATGGTAAACCCATAGCGTATCTTCAGCTGCCCACTAAATATCTGTGCTTAAATATTTGATAGACATCTCAAAGTGAACTTGCAAAACTGAACCTCTACCTGTACTCAAACCTGCTCTTGCTGGTCTTCTCCACCTAGTGGGCTCCATGGTGCACAACCTTGGAGTCATTCATGACCTTGTTCTTTTTCTCATGATAAGCATCAGGTTCTGTCAGATAAACCCTGAAAATATATCCAGATCTCCTCTCTGGCCCGAATTACTGCATTTGCCCTGAAACTGCTTCCTCAGCCCCTTTCAGGCTCCCTCAGGGTCTGTGTTTCCCCCAGCAGCATGAATGCCTTTTTGGAGCTAAGTCAAACCAGCGCATGTCTCTGGCTAAGACTCTTTCCCATGTCACTAATAAGGACAATTTTGCAGTTGTCAGGATAAAGAAAAAAAAAAGTCTATAACGACCCTCGAGTAGTACTGGCATATTGTTTATGCTTTAATAAGTATTTATTGAGAAATAACTGTGCTATAAGAACCCTATTAAATATTGGTACTGTAACTCTGAAAACTAAACCTATTCATTATACTCCCAGAGCTTTGAATCCAGGGGCAAATACAGGTAGGCAGTTACCCAGGGTGCTCCGTGCTAGGGTATCTAACGTACAGAGAGCTATGAGAGCATTTGTGAAGGGCCCCTTGCCAAAGGAGGTGCAAGGAAATTGAGAAGGTAACTGAAAGATAAATAGAACTGAAAAATAAGTAGAAATTAAGCAGGTGAAGACTAGGTAAAAAGAAAGGGATTAGTGGGAAATTGTATCCTGCAGAGAGAGAGGATGTGACAAGGCAGGTGTGACAGGATCCTAGTGTGTAAAGGGAGGAAGGTGCTGGAATAGTTCAGAGCAATAAATGCGGTCCAGATCACATAGGGTTTTGTAGAGTATGGTAAGACTTTGAGACGTTATCTTAAAAAATAAAGTCTTATGAATTGGAGAATTAAAAATTAGAGTGACAGGGGAACCTGGGTGGTTCGGTTGGTTAAGTGTCTGCCTTTAGCTCAGGTCATGTTCCCCAGGGGTCCTGGGATTGAGCCCTTAGTCAAGTCGGGCTCACTGCTCAGGGGGGAGCCTGCTTCTCCCATCCCGATTGTGCTCTATCCTCGCTATCTCTCTCTCAAATAAAATCTTTAAAAAAAGAGGGACAAGATCTCTATTTTAGAAAGCTTATTTCAATGGCACTTTGAGGAATTATTCAGAGAGACAGTAATAGAGGCAGAGAAAGTAGTTGGAAAGTGATTAGCAGAAATCCCGGTGAGTGGTGATGGTGATTTAGACCAGAGTGACACCTGGAGACAGGAAGCATAGTGGACATGCTCAAGAGGTGGTTAAGAGAGCAAAGGAGATGGCCAAAATTTGTTTGGGTGTCTTAAAAGAGCTGCTTTATAGAGTAGATGGTGAACTGAGATTTGTGCAAGATGAGTTTGAATTATCTGTGGGACTTGATGGGGAGAGGTGCCTTTGGCTGTTCTGAATTTGGCTTGAATGAGTAAAACAGAGTTTGGGAGAGAGGGAGAGATAGTTGGGATAGAGATTTGCATTTTCCCCTCACTGAGATGTTAAGTGCTATGTGTTTAAATAATATTTGAGCATCTTAAGTTGTAAGTTTCTTGTTGCCATACGGAGAGGAGGGCTAAGTTAGGCTTGTTACGACTTGTTGGGAGGTTGTGTTTACTTTTAAAAGTGATGCTTGGATGAAGAGACTGTGTCTCATTCAGACCTGGAGACTTCCTCTTGATGCTAAATATAACATTGTGGTGTATGACACACAGTGCCCTAGGACGTTGCCATTACACTCTGTTCTCGGGGTGTGTTAGAGTCCACACAAGGGGGCAGTCCTTCATAGAAACATAGAAACATCATGGTTGCCAGGCTTTAAATTCTGATTCCACCAATTAGCAATGGTGTGACTGTGGGCAGATGATTTAACTTCTCTGAGTTTGTTTTGTCACCTATAAAATGGAAACAGTATTACCTACATCATGTGTTGTGCAAATTGAGTTAAAAATGTACAGCATTTAGGACAGAAAACTGAATGTTAGCTGTCATTACGGCCGTTATTAATAGATGAGGCTTAATTTAGATAGGTAATAGAGCACTTCATTACATTAAACGTGTGGCAGTTTGACTGGAAAGCCCAAAGTGCGTGTGAATTTCTGGGACTTCTTCACTGTGAATTGCACTGCCCTGCGGATGATAGTTACTCTCTGATGGTTTCGTTCTTTCTGATTATGAGAGTGGATGGTTAATGTGAAGAGGAAACTGGGGTTGTTAACTGCATATTAACACACGGGCAAATGGAAGAGCATTGAGTTTCATCTTTATCACTAACGGTGCTTTCTTACAGACCTGTGCTTTTACTCCTCACCTGAAGAACTAGTGTTGCTTGCTAGGCTTTCCGCTCCATGAAAAACAAAACAAACAACTTTCCTATTGAAACTTAAACTGAAGTTGTGATGAGAATGGGTTCTTTTTGATTTTTGGAAAGGCTTTGCTTTATCATTGATAATCAGAATGGATTGGGAGAGGGCTGGCAGACTGGTGGGTCGGAGTGCTGACGTTGGGGTCTGGGCAGTGAGAAGGACAGGGGAAACATGGGCTGGCAGTGCTAAAGGCTCCGTGTTCCTCTAAGACTGCCATTTTGAACAGTCAGTCAGATGCAGCTCTTTGTTGATAGTCCCTGGAATCCTGCTATGAAACATGCATTGGGAGAGATGGGGCAGGGGAGGGGAAGGGAGGGAAGAGGCGGTGGAAGGGTGAGACAGGGAGGGAGGGGGAGGGAAGGAGGCGTGTCATGCCCCCGTGATGGCTATTTTCGCTGTGGGAAACTTTCCTGTAAACTATTTTACTTTGAATCTTACAGGAATTTGAAAGTGATTATGTTGTGTTTAAGTCCAAAACTTTGGATTTTGACAGAAGGCTTGGGACGATTCTTTGCGAAGCTTTCTTTAACAGCAACGGTTTAGAAGCTGCATTTAAGGTTAGTTCTGAAGAAGCTATCATTAAAAAAATACGAATGAATAATTTTGACTGTTAGATGAAAGGAGTGAATACGTTCCTTTCTGACCCAGCTAAACAACTAGTCACATCCTGTTTGTATTCACCTCATTGAATTAAATTTTACATAAGGCACTAATGCATGATGTTTACGTGGGGCAAGGTCAGTTTTAGGACTTTGGACTATTGATCTTTTCTCAAATTCAGTTTTAGCTCTCGTTACCTTTAGAACTAGTTTGGCATAGCCTATGAAATCCTGATTCCAAATTAAGCCACCGTGAAAAGTGAAAAATACCTGTTCATGGAAGATTTTCTCTGTACCATTGTTTACATATGTTGGGTTCACCCGCCCACTTCATTACTCTGACTGAAACAAATAGCAGTTGGTATAATACATTCCGTCAGGCATAAGACACCGTTGGTGATCAGGCACGCCATTATTTTGTATATAAATAAAATGCTGCCCAAAAAATTATTCCATCGATTATATAACATAGTCCACTTTCAGATGTTAAGACGTGAAGAAATGTTGGACAGAGAATTAAAGAAATGCAATATGGTATTTATGTATTCCGAATTGCATTAATTAAAAAACGCACCTTCTTAGACCTCCCAAATGGACAACTTAAGATGTGGGAAAGAGGGACACCATGCAAAACTTTCTTGTCAAAGGAAAGAACTGCAAGTGAGGTGTAAAACCAGATGACATCCCAAAAGAGGAATGGAGGCTTCTGTTTCCAAAGAAATACACTGGGGATCATGGGCATAATTCATTGAAAATGGCTGTGCAAAACAATAGCACAGACCCAGACTTTATATGGGATACTGTTTGATTTTGACCTTCAAATTCACATGATGGGTCAGGTGGTGGTGAAGGTGCAAGTATCTCCTGGCCCCTGTCGAGCATTTTAACACGAAGAATTCACAAGGATTGGGGCCTGGGTGGTTCAGTCGGTGACTTGTCTGATTCTTGATCTCAGCTCAGGTCTTAATCTCAGGGTTGTGAGGTCAAGCCCCATGTTTAGTTCCACACTGGTCATGGAGCCTACAAAAAAAATTCATAAGGATGAAATAGTTCATTGTTTTGTAAGAGCTGGTAGATGAAACTGAGTTGCTGTTGGCCCAAATAAAATCTTATTATTGTAAAATTAAGCTGCCTGTGATTCCATCTCTCAGCAATTTGTCTTTGGCTACATATATGTATATGTATCCGTTTGACAAGAGTGACGTCAGAGGCTGACCCTCTTCAGTAACCTTTTTCACTTAGGAATGGATCATAAACGTTTTCTTGGTTTTAGAGTAGAATTCAGTATTTTGTAATGGCTCCACAGTGTATCATACTCTCTGTTGCTGGACCTACTTTGCTTTCATGCTTTTATAAATAACAGGATGAAAGAATGTAGATTGTTCCCTTTACAGAGGCTCCTACTTTTTCTAATTCAAGTCTCTCTCCTTCCCGTAGCACAGCTGTTGATAGGGATTCTGTTCTAGTACATGCCACTTATTTTTTCTAAACTACTTTATCTTTTTGTCATGTTTTTTGTCTTTAACTTTGCACCTATTTGTATCTTGTCTGTGGAAACATATAGCATCAGCCCCTGCCCAGTAGCTCTGCAGGGGTGGGACATCATGTCACAGTTTGTGTTCTATTTAGATCCCTGTCTTCAGTGTCTTATAAAGCAGATGTCTAATAACTGCTTGAGGTTGGGGGGATGGATTGGTAGTCAAAGTACTGGAATGACTCACGGATGAGGTTTAAACTGCAGGAAGAGTCGTGGTGGAAGAGAAAAAATTACAGAATGACATCTTGAGGAAAAAATGATGTCTACCATAGGTACAGGATGATGAACTCTGACCATGTGCCGTTGGGTGACAGGGAATAAATATTTGCAGACGGTTCTCTGGAGACCATGATTCATGCCTGCTCTCGGCAAAGACATGACCAGGAAGGGCACTGGGACCAGACACTATTCTACTTGAATAGGAAACTGTGGTTCAAAGCCTACAGTGTTGGCACTCAATAAAAAACAAAACGAAGCAAAACACTAGTGGATGTTCCTCTAAAATTTACAGCATGTCTACATGAAGGTAGACTGAAATGTCGAAGATGAAGTATCCAGAAAAGTCTTCGGACAGTAAAATTGAAAGCTCTAAAATTGGGAAGTGTACATTGGTTCAGGTGGCAACATTTAAAACATCTTGGAAAGAGGCAAACCCAGGAAAACTACAAATAGGTACTACTTGAATAGTAGCAAGGGCATTATGAAAAGCCATGTTACGGAGTGCAACTGAGGAGTAGAAGAAAAGGTAGACCGTGCAGATCTCAGATGGGACTGTCAGGGAAAGAAGCATGTGGTAGGAGTCCATTTTTAATCTTTGGGGGTTGATAGGAAGGAAAATGTCTATACTCTTCACAAAAGAGCTCTCAGTTTCGTGAGGACATGGAAGCAGGAGGCCCACCTGACCCTTGTTCTCTTCCCATAGGGTAGTTTTTCTTTATCGGTGATGCTGAAAAATTATGACAATGTGTACTACCTAAAAGGTTAAGGTTTCCTTACTACTCTTTTCTGGCCTTATAGCCTCCTAAAAGAATATTTTTTCTGTGTCTTTTCCCTTTTGTACTTGGAGTCAAGTCCCACTAAGCATATCAGCTAGGCAAGATAGATGCAGCTGGAGAGCTTCTGGTATTTCAATCGTGGTCAGGATGTTAAGTGTTTGAAAAGAACAAATTGGCAAAGTAAATACATTTCCCTGGTGTAGGTGGATTGCACTTCTTTGTTAAATCTGTGAGTCAGTGTTTGCTTTTGATTGTTAACATGAAACCCAAAGTCAACAAGAGTGGTTGAAAGAAGAAAGTTAATAAGCATTTTGCTAGGGAGCAACTAACCAAGAAGGTTTTAAAATATTTAGCAGTTTCTCTACTCTTATAATTGATATTACCCCAGGGCGGGGGAGGGGAAGCCAAATGTGTCTAAACTGACCTCTAAGATATGGTTTGATTTACATATTCATTGTACAATTTTTTCACCTGTTTTTTTTTTTTCAGTGAATTTAGTGGATGTAAATATTTAGAGAATGTTAACGATGAAGCTATTTTTAAAGAAAACAGATTTTCCCCCCATTATTTTACTTTAATTGCAATGTAAGTAATATACAGTGTTATGTTAGTTTCAGGTGTACGATGTAGTGAGTCAGCAGTTCTGTACATTACTCAGTGCTCATCGTGTCTCTCTCTAATCCCTGTCACCTATTTCACCCATTCCCCCCATCCACCTCCCTCTAGTAACCATCAGTTCTCTATAGTTGAGTCTGTTTTGTTTGTTTCTCTTTTTTCCTTTGCTTTGTTTCTTAAATTCCACATATGAGTGAAATTGTAGGGTATTTGTCTTTCTCTGCATGATTTGTTTCTCTTAGCATTATACACTCTAGATCCATCCATGTTGCAAATGGCAAGACTGCATTCTTTTTTTAGGGCTGAGTAATATTCCATTGAATACATATACACTGCTTCATTATCCATTCATCTCTTGATGGGCTCCTTCCATATTTGGCTATTGTAAATAATACTACAGTAAACATAGTGGTGCATATATTTTCAAATCTGTTTTCATACTCTTTGGATGAATACCCAGTAGTTCTATTCTTAATTTTGTGATGACACTCCATCCTGTTGTCCACAGTGACTGCACCAGCTTCCATTCCCACCAACAGTGCACGAGGGTTCCTTTTTTCTCCACATCCTTGTCAACAGTTGGTGTTTAAAGAAAACAAATTTTGAGGAACACCTATTATTTCCCTAAGAAGAGTAACGAAACTTTCTTTTTGGCCATGTTGCTAACAAGGCACAGACCATGGTATATGGTTTTCTGCCCTCTTGATTATATTTTACTTTGGGGAGATATCTTTTTTTTTTTTTTTTAAGATTTTATTTATTTGAGAGAGTGTGCTTGAGAGACCACGAGCTGGTGGGCAGGGGGGAGAGGGAGAAGCAGGCTCCCCGCTGAGCAGGGAGCCCGATGCGGGGCTCGATCCCAGGAACCCAGCATCACGACCTGAGCCAAAAGCAGACACTTAAGCGACTGAGCCACGCAGGCGCCCTGAGGAGTTACCTTCTTTTAAAGAAATCTCTATATAACAGGCCTACTAACTAACATTGTACGAATCCCACCCAGAGTCAGCAAGTAACAGAATCATTTCCAATGGCACCGTGGCTGTTGAGAGCCCACACAGGGGAGCGCAGAGCCCAGGGCCGGACTGCCCGGTGTCAGATGCTGGTTCTAGCGCTAGCTGTGTGAACTTGGGGAGCTTCCTCCCTCCCCACAACTCCGTTCTCTTACCTGAAACCTGTCATAACAGCAATTTCAGGCCATTAAAATAGAGTACCTGGCACCTTGTCAGCCTTATATAAACACTGCTTGTACAGAAACAAGCATTTTAATTACATTATTGTGCTCGCAAAGAAGGCTGTCTCGTGCCGGCACACAGAAGGACCCACATGGGGTAGAGAATAAGGCAGGAGGCTAATGGAAATCCCAGGTTAGGCTCCGCAGGCAGCTGAGCTTTGTGGAAGCTGGTGGTGAAGGTGAGTTTGGATCTGAGTGGGGGGCACGGACTGAGCGAGCAGAGTTTCAGGACTTTGACTTGTCTGCTTGCTGGTCCTGTGTGTTCCTGCTTCAGTCCATGTGTCTCCCCCCCGCCCTGCCCCCCCAGTCTCCCTACTCACTGCCTTCCTCTGCTTGCTAACAGTTCTTGCTCCCTCATAATTTCGCTTCCATAGGTTCAGCCTGCCATGCCCTAGTTCTCTTCCTGAGGAGGAGAGAATGTGATTAGTTCAAGGCATCAGTTTGAGGTAGGACATTCCTGTCAAAGGAACTGTCTGCCTGGGGGGTGGTTGTCCTTGCCACAGGTCACTGCTGCTGCCCCAGGCCACAGTGTTGGGGTGGCTGGGTGGTGTGGCATGGGACGTGGGCTGCCACAGACAGGACAGTCCCAGTAACTGATCCATTCAGTGTAATTATTAATGGTATGACCTGGAGGTCCTCGACGTGGATATTCTAGATCAAAAGAGTACCTGTGTAGGAGGGGAGAACAAAGAAAGATGGGATATACATTTTGCTTCTGATTTTGTATCTGCAAGCATCTTCTCAAACATTTCCTGGCACCCAGCAGGAAGAAGTAATGTTATCTGTGAGCAGGGATTGCCGACAGATCGTAGTTAATTTCTGACTCCTCTCATTTTCTGCTGAGAAAGGGAGGTTACATTTAATATTTGTTTTTATTGGAAATGTGTCTTAGATTTGGAGCTATTTCAGGATTCTTGTAGGGTTCTAGATTTTTGCTTTAACTCTAAGCACGTAGGAGGTGTAATGGGGAAAATAACTGAGTATCTGCATTAAAAATCCACAGTTCTTAACCTTTCAACTTTGATTTTTACAGCTTTTGACCATATTTGGGAATTTTCTAGAGAAACCAGTTGTCATGGAAATTTTCAGCCCACATTACAGCACACTACTGCACATGTTTAACACAGAGTTGGATATGTGTAAGCAATTGTATGATGAACACGTGAGACAGGTAAGTAGGGCATGAAGTTGAGCATCATTTTTGTGGGTAATGGCCATCAACTAGAACTTTATTTAATGATACCTAAAGATGAGATAGTGACAGTAAACCTTTTATGCCTTTATTTAATTGGTTTCCTTATGCAGATGAAGAACCTGCTTTAGGACCATAACTCAACTAATCAGGTTACTTAACACATACATTTTATGTCTTTGCACTGTAAAACCACCGAAATGAACAACTGCTTTCAAGGTTGGAATGCACTCTGATTAAACATGCCCTTCCTTCCTCTTCACCAAAATATAATTCTGCAGATTGAACGTGGAAATGTAGTTCTTCACCGGAATATGCCATTTACTGCAGGCAACATCAAATGGGCTAAAGAGGTCTTTGAACGACTTCAGACTTTCTGGTCCAACTTTGCATCTCTCCGGTATTTGTAAGTTATTAGGCCTATTTCATGGTAAAAATGATCCTAATGAGACAGGCAGTTTTTATAGAGGGCAGTGAACTGTTCATTTTAGCACTTGAGGATTTCCTTGGCTGAGTTCCCTGAGATGATTTCATCCCCATGGTTTTAGAATACATTCACTGGGACGCTTAAAACTTCCATACGTTTCCCTGTTGTAGGTCCTTACATGTTTTCTTCTCACTTTTCCTTTGCACCCACAGTATGTTGGTAGTTTTTGGTTCCTTTTCTTCAGTAACTAGCACTACTTTTATTTTGCAAATTAATGTACTTTCCTCTTGTCTTTGTAGGAATTGGTAACTTTCTGCTATTGATGTTGAGTGGAACTCTCTGGAGTTCCATTCATTTCATAATGCTATCTTATAAGGCAAAGACCATTCATAAGCATTATTTGGCTTTTCTTGTTTCTATTCCTGTTTTTTATAGTGCATTTTATTATACTTTCTATTGTATATTTCCTTGTAAAGTAGTTAAGCCGAAATCTAACATGTAGGAAAGTAGAAAAATCCTATTCCTACAGATTCTCAGAAAGTCCTGATGATGCCTTAGTTTATCAGAAGTATATTGAAATGACTGCTTTGCTAGAGCAATTTGAAAATTGTATCTATAATGAATGGAAAAGTAACGTGGATGAAATCTGTGACTTCAATTTGAATCAACCCTTGATTAAATTCAGTGCCATAAATGGGCTTCTCAGTGTCAACTTTGACCCACAGGTAGGGGTTTGATATTTTTAAGTTGTTTTATAGATGCCATTTTTATCACAAGTATATTCCTGATATTTCCAGTGATTTATATTTAATTTGGGGAGAATGTCAGTCCTGTGAGGATTATAACTGAAAACAACTTCTAATAGGTCTTTGTTTTAGAGATTTGTTTCCCAAATACTATATTAATTCCTCTTTTTTTTTTTTTTTTGGCCTTGTAATTACCATTTCCACCTTTACTGGACAATGAGCTGAGAGTAGGGTGCATTTCATTTTATCTTTGTGTCCTGTGCTTCTAGTGTAGTGTTGGGCACTTGGTAATACTTAATAAACGTTAACTCAATTGAATGTAATCTTTTATAAGAGTTTTCTGGCTTGGATTAGATTTGTAGCACATTTACCAGTGTTTTCAGTTAATTAGAATTTTATCATGTAAGGTTTGGGGAGTCCACAAAATGTATGGAATGAGAATATCCTTCAAAGGGTCAGTAAACTGTAATATGCTGGTTAAATAGGTTATTTTTATAAAACAGTTTTCCAAAACACATAAAACAACATCTAAATGCCCCAAGTAATATGAACAGTTAAATATACTCAGGATGAAAATTACCTTTATTGAAGATCCTTTTTTTTTCCCTATGATAAACCACCTAACAGAGAAATTTCATAGATTCTCTGAATAAGTTTATTTTCTTAAAATTGCATTACATGTTATGTAATAATGAAAATGCAGAAACTTCAATATTGTAGCAGAAGGGACTATACCTCTAAATCACTGTGTGTATATATTTATATATAATGTACTATATGTGCATATATCTGGTAAATGATATCTATGTAGGTACATATATATTTTAACCTGTCTCCAACTTTGAGAGCTTGGTAGGAGGCACAAAATAAGCTTTCTTCTCTACTTAAAAGAATATGCTTAACAGGAAAGGGCACACATATGAAAATAACTATTTGTAAGTTGCCATTACAAAAAAATTAGTAAGCATTTGGCTAATTTTTTTAGACAGTGAAGATTATATGCTGTTTTTTAGCGACTGCCCTGTCTTTTGTGTCAGTTCAAATATATGTCTAGGTAAGTAGTGAGGAAGTAAGCCTCCCTGGATCTGTCTGTCATAATCTGCACCCAAATTCTCATCTGTTGTCCTAAGATAGTACACAGAGTAGCATCATTTAATTATGTTTACAAAACTTAGCACACATATATAAATATATATATCTCTCGGTCATAACCGAGAGAACTTAGGATTTCTTCCACCTCTGATTTCATAAAACCAACTTAACAAACTAAATGCCTGAGATGTTTCAGGGATAATTCCTGTGATTTATGTATGGTACTAGTTCACCTGTGGTGTGACAGCCTAAGGAAGTCAACTGGTTTACCTTCTAAACGTGTTATGCAGTCTGTTCCTCAGAACCTGTGATTTAGAGGTATAGTCCCTTCTGCTACAACATGACACACCCATTCCTAAAAAATCACTGTGCTGTGAAAGATTGCACAATAAAAAGTACAGAGCTTATGGGGAAAATGGGGGCTAGGGCCCTCGTACTTCAAAGCTGTCAGCAGTGCATTAGAAAAACAGGAACCTACAAAAACAGCATTTTATACATTTTAAATGGCTAAGTCATACATAAATACTACAGTAAATATGACACTTCGCCTTGACAAAGACTGGAAGTTTGCTCATGGAAGTGGGTGTTGGGTAGGTGACGATTTGTGCATTGCTGTGAAGTGATGGAAGGAGGGTTATCGATATCTGGCAGAAAGTTGAACCCCTACCCATGAACGGGCGTGGCGCATCGTACTTGAGTGAACTGAGGTGCTTGGTGGCTCCTGGCATATGAGCATTTTGCATATTTCTAAGCCTTTCAGTTGAGTTAGGTGCAGTTTTTAGCATTTACCTAGTTTCTTGCTAATGAAATTGCAGATCAGCACAGAGAAAATTTGTTGTATGTCCACATTGCTAGTCTATCAGTTGTATTGGAACAAATTTATGTTTTCAAAACAAACGTTGCGACAGAAAGAACAGTTCTGGGAAAAGATGGAGGTCCGTGTACAACCTTCCATCTCACAGCTTGGTGTGCACGTGTTGCTGTCTTTTGCCTAAATTCTTTCTCTGACTGTGGACCATAGCCATAAATAACATTGTTATTTATACTTCTGTATCACAAGAATGTACGATGACTGCTTTTAAAAACCATATGAAACAACAGCCTCTTCACCTTGACAATTGGAAAATACTGTAATCACTGGATGAAATTTTAAGTGTTTGGATTTTAACACGTGTTAAAAGAGAATGTCATTCATAAAATACATAATCCTTGATTTTCTTTTAATAGCTCGTGGCTGTTTTGAGAGAGGTGAAATACCTTTTGATGCTGAAGAAATCTGACATACCGGATTCAGCGTTAGCCATCTTCCAAAAAAGAAACACTATTTTAAAGGTGAGTGTTTGTAGATATTCTTTGAACAGACGTATTTTGATTCATAATTATGAACATGTAGACCTATAATACTTTCGTGCCTCTAATATATGTAGCTTTAACACATTTGACCCTTTCTGTTTCGGGGTTTCCTTTTGCTCAGTACATTGGAAATCTTGAACTTGTTGTGCAAGGATATAATAAGTTGAAGCAGACCCTCCTGGAAGTGGAATATCCTCTGGTGCAAGATGAGCTGAGGGCCGTGGATGAGCACCTGGAGACAGCTGCGACATCGCTCACGTGGCGGGATGACTGCTGGGGGTACATTGAGAGGGCGAAGGCGGCCACGTCTGCGTTGGCATGCAGAGTGGAGCTCACGCAGAGCAACGTGAAGGTGATCCAGAAAACCATGAAGGCTTGGGCAGACTGTACACTCCTTCCCAGGAGGGAGCCCAGAAGAGAGACTACCTTGACTTTGGAGGACACCGGTGATTTGTTTACTAAAAAATACAGGCAAATTCAAGAAGATGGCTGCAGGATACATAACTTGGTGGAGGTAATGGCTTTTGAGGTTTGGAAATTGAGGATCTTTTCAGTTAGTTGAGAAAAGAGCAGACATACTCAACCTAATAAGGTAGGGTTTTTTTAATTGCGCCTGAGGGAGCTTTATGTATGGTTTTGTTCAGCATTTAAAATGGAGGAATGTGCATGGCTCACCTGTAACTTCTGCAGTCCTTGCTTCTTTTCATTCCTGAGGGAAGAGATTGGAGTGTGAGGTATATTGGTGAAACGGAAAGCCTAGAGATGGGATCCTTGTCTTGGTCCTAGCTACATGCTCTTTCGGATGCTGTTGACAGCTGGCACGGTTTGTGAAGTGCCCGTAGGTGCCAACCATCTTGTCCACATCACCTTGTGCAACCCTCTCAACCTTCTCCTGAGGGTGGACAGTAGTCACTCTCCTTTTAACAAATATTTGAGTTTTAAAAACAGTAACAGGCACTATTCTAGAGTTGTCAATTGCAGAGAAGACAAAATAAAACAAATGAAACAAGGCAGAAAAAGAAAACTCAACCAAACAAAAAAGTCCCTTATCTCTTGGACCTTACATTCTAGTTGGCCGAGGTAGAGAAAATAACATATACAGAATAGGAGAAATGGTGAAAAATACAGCAGGTAGGATAGGGAATCATTGGTACGGGGTGTATTTTATATGAGGTGGTTTGAAACGCTTCTGTGCTAAGGTAGTAGTTCTGCGGAGAACTGAAAGAGAAAGAGAATGAGCCATGTGGATATCAGGAGAAGGATGTTCTAGGTAGCAAAAAGTACAGAAGTTTGAGGAAGGAGCACAGTTGGTCTGTCCAAGGATCAGTTAGAGAGCCAGCATGCCGGAAGCAGAATTTGCAAGGGGAATAGTAGCAGTTGATGAAGCTTGGAAGGGACTGAGGACACATATGTGGGATTGACAGGCCGTTCTGAGAACTTGGGTTTTTACTGTAAGGTGAAATAGCAGCCAGACACTCTCTACTCAGAGGTTAGCTCTGTTGAGTGTAAATCAGAGGGGAGCAAGGGGGTGGTAGGAGGTAGACCTTTGAGAGATTATTTTAGTAATTCAGGTGATAATGGCTTGGGTCAGAATGGTAGGGATAGAAGCCGTCATGCTCTGGATATATTTTGAAAGTAGAGCCAACAGGATTTGCTGTGATGAGTCAGGAGAGAAGTCAAAGATGAGTTCAAATTTTTTGGTCTGAGCAACTGGAAAATTGGAGTTTGCCTTCACTGATAGGGGGAGAACTGTGATAGAGCGGATTTTGAATGGAAAAGAGAGGCTTTGGTTTAGGCCACGTTGGTTAGAGATGCATGCGCAAGGGATTATTTCGAGTAGGCTGGCACTGCAGTCAAGGCTGGGGTTTGGGGTAAGAAGTCCAGGCCAGTGACATAGAATTGAGAGTCATATGTGAAGCCATGGACTTTGATGAGTTTGTGTAGGGTTTAATCATAGATAGACAAGAAGTCCAAGGCCTGACCTTGAAGTCCTCTCTGAGGCCAGGGAGAAGGGGAGGGTCCAGCACGGGATGCTGAAAAGGAGGCCAGTGAAGCAGAAGGAAAATCCAGAGAGATGCTCTCCTGGAAAGCAAGTCAAGAAGACATTCCAAGGAGGAGGAAGCATTTGACTTTGTCCCATCCTGATTCAGGAGCTGAAAGTGAGGGCCGAGGTTGGCAGCCAGATGTTGCCCCGTGGAAGCCGTTGGTGACTGACAGAGCTAACTTGATACAATGGAAGCCAGAATGGAGTGGCTGACAAGAACGGGAGAAATGGGACCAGAAGGCCACTCAGCTCCTGAGGAGCTCTGAGGTGGCAGGGACCTAAAACTCCGCAGTGCCTGGGGCATGTGAGGGATGGGGAGGATTTTATTTTTAATGTCGGTAGGTGTTTCTGAGGGGTGGTATGTTGATTGGAATGATCTAGTAGAGGGGAAATAATTGTTGGAGGAAAGTCCTGGAAGAAAAGGGATTCTGTAAATACATGTGGAAGTCGGCTGTAGATAGGAACTTGGAGAGTTCATCCGTAGTAACAGGAGGGAGGGGGGCAGAGCACAGGAATGTGGTGCTCACAGGGGGGCAACTCCAGTGAGGGAGATGTGGGGAAGTTCATTTTTTAAAGAGCATACTCTGCATTTCCTTCTTGAGTGTGTTCGTTATATGGAATCATCTCTGTAGATGGATACAGTCCTCAGACCATGACACTCTCCTTTGGGCAGGGCACCAACACCCCTCACCACACACACACACACACACACACACACACACACACACACACACCCCACCCCACCCCCGCCCCCGCTCCCCACCGTCACAAAGCACTATGGCCTGGGGTTTGCCCTGGAGGAGGTCAGAAACCAGGGTTTTTAGTCTTGTGCCTTCCAGAAACCAGGCCTGAATTTCCTCATGCGTAAAGTGAAGACATTTGTCTCTGGGCTCATTCTCAGTGGGAGAACGAGCAATGGACTATGGTTTTTCTACTGAAATTGACTATAACCAATTATGTAGTTTAGTGTTCCATTATCATTCACTTCTTTAGGAAATATTTAAGGTGAGCCTCCTATGGGCCCAGTACCCTTTTAGCTTCTGGAGATACTTGAGTGAACAGAAGAAAGACCCTTCTGTGGAGCTCCCATCGTAGTGAGGGGAGAGACGTCAGCAACAGCAGATGGGAGGCAGGGATGGTAGAATTGGTTGAGTGCTGCAGAACCAAGATGGAATTAGAGCAGGACGCAGGAGGTTCCCAATGCTGGGCTGGGGGTGATGAGGAGAGGCCTCAAGGAGAAGGTAAGATGAAAGCCAAGTTACAGCGTCAGCGCAGGGGGCCGGGGGGGAAGGAGTATTCCAGGCAGAGGAAACCCGCATCCGGGAGGAAGGTGCCGGGTGTCTGGTGCGAAGCCGGGAGGTGACGCTAGGGGGTGGCGGGGTGCAGGGGACAGTGAGCTCAGGTCAGATGCTCGTGGGCTGTGAGGAGGGGATGGAGGGGCCGGGCACATCAGGGAGGTCCTCACGGGCCTTTGTACAGACTTCGGCTTTTATCTGAGCTATGTGGGGAGCTCATTGCAGGACTTGAAAGACAGGAGAGTAAACATGATCTAACTTGGATTTGGAAGAGAGTCTGGCTGTCGTGTTGAAAGGGGAGCCCAGGTGAGGCACAGGGCCTGGGGGGTTACTGTGGCAGTAACCTAGGTGACAGACGTGTGGTGCCTGGACTGGGCCCATAACGATGGAGGTGATTAGGAGTGGCTGGATTCTGGGTATATTTTAAGTAGAACAAACAGAATCTCCTACCAGGCTGGATGTGGAGCATTGTAGGAGGAGGCCTTGAGGATTATTCTAAGAATTTGTTCCCCTCAGAGAATAAGGTTGGAGTTTTTCTGCTAATAAATTGTCTCTCTCCTTTTTTCCTCAAGTCAAAAACTAAACAACTCTGGAGTCCTTGTTCTCAGTATGAGAAGAGAGGAGAGGTTCCAACTTGAGGGAAGTCAACTTCCAAACAGGGATGAAATGATTGTTTCTAGAAGTTGTATCTTTTCAGTGATTCCCCCCCCCCCCCCCCCCCCAGCATCAGCCCATGATTTTGAGCCTGGTTCTCAGACTACCTCTGAGGAGTATAGTTTGGGGGAAAGCTGTGGAAATACTGCAGGGGGTAGGTCATTTCTGCCTTTTTATGCTGCACCCTGTGTGGCTGGGGGATTCCAAGGGATAGTTTGCAGGCAGAATCTAAGATGAAGAGAGGAGTGGAACTATGGAAGATTGGATCTGGAAGGGACCTGAGCCATCACTGAGTGACCCAAAGCTCTTCTTCCCTTTTCCTCTTTATATTGTTGAAAGTAAAACAATTACTATGAATGGCACTGCAGTATATAAACTGGATATCTTGGGATGAAAAAGTATAAACAATGAGCAATCACAGGTACTGTACTGTGTTAAGATGTGTTTGGAAGAGCCCCACCCTGGGGATCCAAAGGAGTCAAAAGGTCCTGTTTGTAGTCCTAGCTTGGGTGCTAACTTCCTACCAGTGTGACGCTTGATGTGTTTTAGGTCTTTGTTTTATATCTTTCAAATGAATATACTGAACAAGATGGTCTTTAAGGATTTTTTTTCCAGCTCTAAGATCTGTACTTCTCCTTTCTAGTCCCTACAAAGGAGCCAGGACTGCTGTGTACAGCTGCCCAGGATATCTACTGCACATTACACAACTCCAGGGGTGTGGGCCACATATATTACAGATATATACAGATGTGAATGGTTCCACCTGGATGGGCAAGACAGCATCCTTGAAAAGAGAGGTCCTTAAATTTGTTGAGGGCAAGAAATCCTTCAAAGAGCTTTCCAATCTTGGCCCTATTTTATCACCTCTGTAGTTGTGGTTCTTGCATGTAACACATACCTTTGAATCGTGGATCATACATCCGCAGTAGCAAATGATCAAAGAAAGGGCAGAGTATTGTCTACCTTATAATCAGCTCTCATTCCAGTGTCTCTTTTTCTCTCTGATCTAGTTTCTGCCTTGGGCATCTGCCCTCTGGATTATATGGACTATGTAACCTTTACCACTCAGACAGGTATCTCTGGAATCAACCCTTGCTGCCCACTTGACCTTTTCAAATCTGTGTCCCCAGTCCTGCCACACCGTTTGCTCAACCTCTAGCAGTCCTAAACCGTAGTCCTCTCTGACCTTGTCATGCCCTATTGACCTGTTCATTACCCAGACTCTTGGGAGGAGATGTCAAGGTAGAAGAACTTAATGCTGTTGAAGCACAAAGGGAGCTTTGACTTCACCAGGCTGGTTTTCCTCAAGTTGAGTTACTATTCCATAGGCTGCTTATGGGTGGTTTGCACGAAGTATTTGTTGTTTGGTTGCTTGTTTTCGTTCAACCAAGTTAAGTCGACTTTTAATAGTAGCACCGTGAATCTCCAAGAAAGGCCTAGAGCACGTAGCACTTTGCTGACTCAGTGATCTTGGATATTCCAGAACAGTGTTCTCTGAAAGACCAGTTTGGGAAACCTCATTTACATACGAGGCCCTGGAAGACAAAGCCCAGGACCACATAGAGTTCGGCACAGAGCAAGGGCTGGGACCTACGTCCAGGACACAGAGAATGCTTAAAAACTCCTGTATCTCTTGTTTGTATTTGAAGACAGCAATTTTCATAATGATTTTTCTTTTAAAAGATGACTTTTGAATGTATGGTGTAAATGATCTAAATGTTGCAAAATCCTGCTTAGATATTTACTGTTCAGCTTGAGGCTCTATGACCTGGCATTTAAATGTTCCTGTCTCATGCACAAAAATGCAGTCCCTTCTTTAACAAAACATTTCAGTGGAAAGCCTTCATTTTTGTGCTCACTGTTGTTTGTACCCGTCTATTAATATTTATGTTTCCAGGAAAATAGGAAGCTCTTCAAAGCCAGTCCTTCTCTGGATGCCTGGAAGATTTATGTGGAGTTCGTCGATGACATGGTGGTAGAAGGCTTTTTTCAAGCTCTCATGCATGACTTGGACTTCTTTCTGATGAATACGGAAGAACAACGGACACCTGTGCCATTTTTTCAAGCACAGATGATTTTAATGCCTCCTGAGATTCTTTTCAAACCTTCTTTAGAAAGAGAGGCTGGGCATGGCTTCTACGATCTGGTAGAAGAAATGCTTGGCAGCAGCTGCAGAATGTCTGCCCAGATGGAGCGAGTGGCCTCACACCTGGAAATAGCAACTTATCAGGTACTATCTTTGAAAAGGGGTATGACCTTTGGTATTAATGATGGAAAAATAAATGGAGGTAACGGGGAGCACACGGAAAAAAAACCAGCACAGTGTCTGATTTTACCGAAGCACAGCCTTGGGTGGTGGTACGTTGCACGTGACTGACAGGGCAAGGTGGGTTTTAACGAACGCTCGCTTTTCCTCTCATTTAGAATGACATGGAGAATATGCTGGGCCTGGTAGAGGTCAGGCAGGAGATAATGAAGAGAGTGGCAGATGTCATCAGCAAAGTCTTGGACTTCAGAAATACCCTGGACACATACGCTTACCTCTGGGTTGATGACCGAGCTGAGTTCATGAAGCATTTTCTCATGTACGGCCAGACTGGGTCATCTAGCGAAATGGATGCTCATGCAAATGAAGAAGTCCCCAAACAACCACCAACTCTCGAACAATTCAAAGAGCAGGCAAGGAGAACCTTTAGTGTTCAATGTAGTTACTCCTGTTTGATTGAACTGTTCAAGGAATTTTTTTTTCTAATTATAGATTGACATTTATGAAGCTTTGTATGTTCAAATGAGCAAGTTTAATGACTTCAGAGTGTTCGATGGTTGGTTCAAGGTGGACATGAAGCCTTTCAAAGTGAGCTTGCTGAACGTTATTAAGAAATGGAGCTGGATGTTTCAGGAGCATCTTTTGAGATTTGTCATAGACAGGTAGTCTTCTATGCTTTTGGCATTTGGAATTAAAACTTTTTTTTTTTTTAAAGATTTATTTATTTATTTATTTATTTGAGACAGAGAGAATGAGAGAGACAGAGAGCACATGAGAGGGGGGAGGTTCAGAGGGAGAAGCAGGCTCCCTGCCGAGCAGGGAGCCCGATGCGGGACTCGATCCAGGGACTCCAGGATCATGACCTGAGCCGAAGGCAGTCGCTTAACCAACTGAGCCACCCAGGCGCCCTGGAATTACAACTTTTAACACCTGACTGCTTTCTAAAGTTGAGACATAAATTTTAAGAACATTAAAACTACCAGTTTCTTAGCAGAGATGTGATGTTTAAATAGAATCTTACTTTCATTGTTGACCTATCAGAAGTCTTCTACTTCTCAAGGTTTTAATGAACTTAATTTGGATTTGTGTGTGTTCATGTACGTATATGTGTCTGTGTACGTTTCTATATATGTATTTAATAGTCTGAATGAGCTACAGGAATTTATAAAGGAGACAGATGCTGGACTTCAGAGAGATTTAAGTGAGGGTGATTACGATGGTTTAGTAGATATCATGGGGCATCTTCTGGCAGTAAGAAGCCGACAGAGAACTACGGATGAACTATTTGAACCCTTAAAACAAACCATCATGCTCTTGGAAAACTACGGCCAGAAGATGCCTGAGCAAGTCTATATTCAGCTAGAGGTAAGTGTCATGGTAAAACACCCATAATTAACATAAACTGGGCACCTCCTTTAGCCAACTTCTTCACATGCCCTCTCTGAGGACGTGCTATAACAACCTGTCCTGGAGACAACTGTTGGCATTCTGCAGGTTAGGAATTTGAAACTTAGAGAGATGTAATACACTTTTCAAAGTCACACAAGTTGTCACTCCAGTCCGTATGAATCTAGGTGTGTTTCATGCCAAGATATTCCATGTCAACCGCTGTGCCTACTGCCTTCTTATTAGGAGGTAATTAGCGAGCAGCCTCTGAGCTGCTCCTTGGAGTTCCCCTTGACCATTCCTTCTAGACGTGAAACATACCCCTGTTCTCTTTCATTGAAAGCTGCCTCTCAGTTGAACAGTGTCCTAGTCTTCGGAAGCATATCATGGACTTTTTTTTTTTTTAAGATTTATTTATTTATTTGAGAGAGCGAGAATGAGAGAGAGTACACGAGGGGGAGGGGGGGTCAGAGGGAGAAGCAGGCTCCCGCTGAGCAGGGAGCCTGATGCGGGACTCGATCCCGGGACTCCAGGATCATGACCTGAGCCGAAGGCAGTTGCTTAACCAACTGAGCCACCCAGGCGCCCTATCATGGACATTTTAATAAAGAATAAGGAAAGCCCAGTTTGGGTGGAGAAATCACTGTTTTCTAAAAAGGAGTTCTGTGTCTTCCTCCTGTTTCTATTATCTAGAAAGAGTAGGTAGCTGCTCTCTGCCCAGTGATAAGCAAAGTCTTTTTTTTTTTTTTTTAAGGTTTTATTTATTTATTTGACAGAGAGAGACACAGTGAGAGAGGGAACAAAAGCAGGGGGAGTGGGAGAGGGAGAAGCAGGCTTCCTGCCGAGCAGGGAGCCCGATGTGGGGCTCGATCCCAGGACCCTGGGATCATGACCTGAGCCGAAGGCAGGCGCTTAATGACTGAGCCACCCAGGTGCCCCAAGCAAAGTCTTTTTAGTTAGAACTGAAACCATGAATCACAGTCTCAAGGCCAAGCTTCTCTTCCCATGCCTGTGTTGAAGATCTATAGGTCATATATTTCCATTATCCACCAGCTTCCAGGATGGGCTTACCTTTAACCTTGCAAGTGGGACTAGTGGACACATGAACTTAAAAAACTTGTATTAAATTCTAGTTCAGTGATTCAAGCCTGGAACTCAAGTACTGTGTGAGGCCATCTCATCTGTTTGCCTCAGAGCGTGCTTCCTCTTGAGTAAAATCTCTCTCCAGATTCCTCACTTCTAAAATTGGTATGGTCTCCGGTTTCCCACTTCTTTGTTGCGGTGAAAGTCACAGTTCACACACCATAAAAGTAATCCTTTCAAAGTGCTTGGCATTTAGTACATATGTAATGTTGTGTAACCACCTCCTCTAATCTCAAAACACTTGCATCACTCCGAGGAGAACCTCCACACCCATGAGCCGTCCTTCCCCGTCCCTCCTCCCTACCGGCCTGCCGCCAATCTTTGCCCGGGTCTGTGGGCTGACTTACTCTAGATACTGCATGTAAATGCAATGGTCCAATCTGGGGTATTTTGTGTCCAGCTTCTTTCACTTGGCATGGTATGTTTGAGGTTCATTGGCATTGTGGCATGTGAGTGCCGCATTCTTCTTGTGTCTGAACACCCACCGGTTCATTGTGGGTGCAACCTGTTAAGCCTTTCATCTGCTGATGGACATTGGGACATTTGGGTTGTTGCCATCTTCTGGCGATTGTGAATAATGCTGCTATGAGTGTGGGTGTGCAAGTATTTGAGTACCCCTTCCTTCCTTCCTTCCTTCCCTCCCTCCCTCCCTCCCTCCCTCCTTTCCTTTCTTCCTTCCTTCCTTCCTTCCCTCCCTTCAGTACCTGTTTTCAATTTCTTTTGTAACACAGGAGTGAAATGGCTGGGTCTCAGAGTGATTCTAACTTTAACTTTCTGAGAAAACGCCAAACTTTACATGGCAGCTGCTGCCTTTTATATCTCTGGTTTTGTTTTGTGAGGATCAAATGCAACAGCGTATTTACAGGTGCTCTCTTTTGACTATAAAGAATTAATACAGATGAATTACTAAATTCTCTTTACCTATAAAACTGTCCTTATAACTGAAATCTACTTAGACACAGAGATGAGATGTGGATACATAGATACATAACAAGAGAGATGAAGTAGTATGGGGCACAATGTAAATATTTGTTTTTAGAAAGCTTTGGATATTCTTTGAGCCAGATCTTGGACCTTAAAATAGAGAAACTAGTCATAACCCAGGTCATGGATATTGGGGATTTTAGCTACGGCTTCTAGAATTTTCACTGTAAGAATCTGGCTCCTTACTTACGGTTAATGAATTATTGAAAGTGCGCTAGGCTTTCTAGTATTTCGAAAGTGGGCCACAGTTCTAGCTATGTGTCTGCCTTTGTCAGTAATTCAGGCTGCTCAAGAGAAAAAACAAGACTCATAGGCAAAACAAATTTCATGGGGAGGATAACAGTGCCCCAATTTTATTTTAATTAAAGCATTATGTGAGAGTTACTGTTTCTTCCTCATAATCATTAACAGCAGTTATAACATTTTCCAAATACTTGCCTGTGCTTGGTTCTGTGCTAAGAAAGCCCTCCAGGTGGCTGTGTCCTCACTCCCTCTCTATAATACGGTTTGAAGCAGGATTAAACTTTAACGTATAGATTTTTATCAAGTCCCTTCCTTGTTAAGAAGCCTTCACTGACTGCCTCTAGCCTCGGAATACTGTCTAGTTGCCCTACGAGTGCTCTTCTACCCCCAGCCTGCATTGGTCGTCTTACTTGGCAGGATCTCAAGGGATCGCACCCAAATTTCTGCCTGTTGGAGCCTGGTCCTTACTTTGAGCCACAGATTCAATGCTCCCTCTTTAGGGGAATCCTATCACTGAGGCTTTGGAGATCATCTGATCTTTTAGTTTTCAAGGAACATCTATTTGTATCAAGTGGAATCTTATTTGGAATCCCTAAAAAAGAAGCAGGTAATAGCAGGCTTCCTTAGTCAATAAGGGTTAAGGGGCCTGAGCTCAGGGATGTGACGTTTGCAGCCCTTACTCCTGAAGGGACGCCAGGTGATGGTTAGGTTCCATGGGATCAGTTGGAAATGCGAAGTGAGCTGCGCAGATGAGGGTGCGGAGTTTTGATGAGAAGGATGGAAGGAGGAGACGAAGGACAAAGAGGTTTAAAGCCCAGGTCTCTTGGTCTCTGGTCTGTTTTGGTAATTCCTATCAGGAGTGTTGCCTTCCAAGCATTCTGTCCCATAGGAGAGTTCTTGGGCGCCTCTCATTGACTCTGACAGACTGCAAAACAATTTAACTGGAAGAATGTATTTTATGTTTCCAGGAGCCCTCCCCCACATGGATACAGTTGACACTTAGCACAGCATACTCTTCATAATTAGCAGCTACGCAATCATCCATCAAATATTTATTGAGGCTTACAAAACAGTCTTTAGAACCTTTGTTTTTGCACTCGAGCTACACAAGTAGAGTCCCCTCACCATGGGTGGTTTTGTATGACAACACAATTTCAGTGTCCTAGGAGATCACCCAGAGAAACAATGCTTTGTTAGTCTGGGCACAAGGAATGCTTTTCGACAGCATTTACGCACAACGGCGCTTCAAAGAAAAGAATTTGCTGTTGTCCTATTTGCATTGTAGTCAAGCAGTGCAGAGTTGAGTTGCTACCTGAACTATTTATTGCTGCTTTTGTCCTACATCAAGTAGAAATTAACCTTCCCTTCCCTTGGCCTCTCTTTACTTCAGAAATCCTGGTTAGTTACAATGAACCTGACCTAAATGCGCGAACTCTCCATCAAGACAGAGTACACACAGAGCTCTGGAAGCTAGAGGAAAAGGCAGATGAGATTGATTCACGTTTTCCTCTGTGCCCCACCAGATTCAAAACATCTTTCTTCACTTGCTAAGTTGCTAAACCTGGCTCCCATTTCCACTTGTTAGACAGCAGGGAAGTTCCTTTCCAGAGTACTTGAATTTTATTCCCTTAACAGCAAAACAATTTGGAAATTGGTGTGTCTTTGGAAAAGATGTCCTGTATTTTGAGATAAATCTTATACCAGAGGACAACTCTGGTTTATGCTTGGAAGATCATGCAGTGGTGCCAGTGGATCAGCCTGGCTCGGGGCCTTCAGCCGTTTGCATCTTTCTGAGGATAAACTCCTTCTGTTCAAGAAGAATGAGAAGACGTTATGGGTTAATGTATAGAGGTTGCAATAATTGAATCTTGTGGAGTTCATTTACTTCAGGCACTGAAATATTTTCCTATCTGCACCCTTGTTTTTGTAGGAATTACCTGAAAGATGGGAAACTACCAAAAAGATTGCAGGAACTATCAGACATGCTGTGTCACCTCTCCAAAATGCAGAAGTCACCCTCATAAGGAAAAAGTGTATTTCATTTGATGTAAGCGAGCTACTAAGTTTTGTGGGTGTTATGTTCATTTTCTTTGCTTTAAGAAAGATTTTTTTACAAGGGTAATTGAAGCTATTTGAGATTCACCTTCAGTTTTTTTCTGCCCTCCTCAGCGGAAGCAGGCCGAGTTCAGAGAGAGATTCAGACTCAATGCTCCTCTTGGTTTTAATGCAGAAAATCCATACGCAGTGCTTGATAAGGTAACGCTGAAGCCAATTGTTTTTTGCTACAAGAGCCCTTGTAGAAAGTCAAATTAGACACTGACATACTGAGATATTTTGCCTTAGTTTGGCAGTTAGAGCAGTTGAGAATTAACTATTACAAACTGGGTTATGAACCGTTCACCCCAATAGTGTTTTAAATCGTGTCTCCCAAAACCACCATCATTATCAAAGTGATCATGCTAGTGAAAGTAACAACTGCTATTTTTTAAGCACTTACTATGTAAATGTGTCAAAAACTTTAAGCATATCGCTTATGTTATTTGTTCTGGTTCTTATAATATCCCTACAATATAGCTTCTCTTCTTTTCAGATAGAGAAACCATCATGTGTAATTGAGTAACGTTGGGGATTACACAGTGACAGATTAGTATTAAAATTCTAGCTGTCCAAATTTTTTTTAATCAGGAATTTTACCCACTATTATTGTTTGCCCTGTGATACTTGGCTAGCGACTTTTAACCATGGTAAAGAAAGCCCATAACTTACTCTTAACTTGGGATAGAAATATTATGGAGTCATACAGTCCTAGTTTCTAATGAACTGCTTTATTATAGTTGACTATAAGAACGAACATAATGGGCAAATAACCCAAAATGGTGAGTGGTTCACATGAGGCTTGAAAAAGGTGTTTTAAAAGTTTATTAGAAAATTAACACTTGGATTTCTTGAGGAATTCTTAACCTAGCAGCCAAAATGAGCAGTGATGGTGAAGTTTAGATTCAGGAGCAGTGAATCTTTCTGAGATCTTCATGGAGGCTGCCATCCTGTTTTTACTCCATACTAGAGAGAGGCTTGACTCCTTAGACTGGTAGAAAACTTAGAGTGGACACAGCTTGTACCTCTCTGTCCAAATTCTGGGTTGAATTTAGTTTTAACTGCTTTACACCCTTTCAGAAAGCACCATTCTGTAGCAGAAGATCTTCTCTTGCACTTGGCTGCAGAAAACCGGTTAATGTATTCATTGTGGGTTAGAATATGCTAATAGAGTTGTGGGGTTTTTAAAGATTCTATCTAAATTGCAGGTGGTCGGAACAGATTGTAGAAGGGGAGACATTTTTACTTGACTAACCAATGTGCTGTATATAAACATTTACTACAGTTATTCATTGAATGCTACCATTTGCGTGCTATAACAGCATGGAGTTAAATATTTAAAAGTCAGAGATATTTATCTTTGGACCTACAGAATGTGTTGAGGGATGTTTTGCATGTACTAGGGCTGGGTTACCTTTGTTTTGAAGTCATTTATGTGTGTGGTGTGTGTGTGTGTAGGTGCATGCACATCTAATACCTCAGTGGATTCATCCAGAGGCACATATATGCTTGTTCTGGGGGGTATGGTAGACCTTAGTACTCAAGGCATCTCACTCCACAAGGCAGAAACCTTTGACCCACCAGAATCAAAGGGAGTGGTATGGTATATTATATTGTATATTGTGTTATAATGGATTCATCAGTAAACTTACATTATGAGCTTTTGTTTCTTCATATGCAAAGACACAGAAAACACTTGAGTTAACTCGGTGTATATATTTAGGAATGATTTAGTATCAGTAATAGGAAAAATGGCAACTAGAAGGGCTGTTGACTTTGGGGAGCATGGTACTCTAGACAATTTGAAAAATCCTTTGGAAAAACAAATGCCGAAACACGTTCACAGATGTGCAACTTAAAATGTATTGCTGCGCTCCCTGGAAAAGAAGAGGAATCTCCTAAAGGGCAGGGGAAAAAATGGAGGAGCTGAATCTAGGGTGAAAAGCCAGAGGCAAACATAGAAGCCTGTGTTACTGTGACGGCAAATGAAACATTGCTACCAGGAGACATGGAGATACTTGGGAGCATGAGTACTGGTTACCCAGGGAGCCTAAATGACCATTAGAAGCAGAAAACATTAATTGCGGTATTCATACAAGGTAATAAATTAAATGTATTCATGCAAGGCAGTGCTTACACAGTAGTAGGAATCAATGAATTTTGCACAGCCTCACAAATATATATAAATAAGCCTCCAAAATAAATAGGAATTGAAATGTCTTAATATAGAGTATAAAATTACATAAACTTCAGAAACAAACTTTAACATTTTAGCATTTAGCAGTGCATATATAGGTAGTAAAAAAAAAATCGGAAATATTAAATAAAAATTAGGTGGCTAATTCTGTAGTGGGAAGGAGGGGCATAAAACTGAGGAGTCCATTAAAAGTTACTGATAACATAGTCCTAAGCTGGATGGTGTGCACACACACCTGCTCATTTTGATGTGTATGGAATTTTTCATAATAGAAAATGGGTAAAACTAAGAATTGTGGTTCTCATTTATAAACATAACTTATAAAAATGAAAACCATAACTTGTACAATGAAAGAAGATGAAAGTGCTGATACTCTTCTTGACATAGTAGGAAGTCAGTAAAGTTGAAAACTGATGAAGCAGAAAGGACTAAGTATGAGTATTTAAATTAAAAAAACAGAAGAACTAAAGTAATAGTTGGGTATTGAGAGGAGGATGGGAGAAAATATAAGGTGGAAAAACGAAGTCAAGTCCTTTTTTTTTTTTTTTGCAAAGTCGGTAACCTAGTGTAATGTCTCAACTTGATAAATGAAGGCGTGGCCTGCACACAGAATCAAGAGTTAGAGAAATAGCACCCAGAAGAACAGGAGAGAGAACCAGCTGCTTCTGCACGACAGGCTCCTCCATCCTCTAACTTTTACCATGTGAATACGCTACTATGTTGATAAAAACTAAAATTAAGAGTTGGCTTATCAAGAAAGAAAAAAATAACTCCACTTATATTTGGCGTAACACAGACTATCCTACATAGATGGGATGGTAGACCAGTTGTAGGAAAGGTCATCGTACAGTGAAATTTCTCCTACTGTGCTGTCTTTAGCTCCAGGGTTTTATTTCATGAATTCTCTAAAGTGCATTTTGTACTATTGATAATCTCTAGGATATTTTTTTAAATCCAAAACTTTTTTTTTTAAAGAAGTGGTTGCTGTTTCAGTGGAAGCTCTAGAGCCTCACCTTTGGCTTCCCTAGCCGAGTCCCCAGCTGTACAATGAAAATCAGGAAGATGGTTTTCATAGAAATCTGATGCAAGAGCAAATTTTGCTGAAGTATGTGTGGGGGCAGTATTGGTGACATGATTGTATTGATGACTAGTCTCCTCTCACTTGCTGAGTAGCCATGAGTTTGTTCATCAGAACCCTACAGTTTACCAATAATTACACTGCCGGCTTCTTTTAATTTTCATTTTAAGATAGAGGTTGCAGATGTTGACCTTTACAGAGGTTCACAGAACCGTGTAGCTTCTCTTTCTTTGGCAGTTCATTGATGTGAAGGGTGTTGGGGTGCATGTGTGTGTGTGTTTTTTCCTTAGGCAAATCAAGAGCTTGAGGCATTGGAAGAAGAAATGTTACAGATGCAAGAAGCTACCCACCTTTTTGAAGTGGCTCTTCCTGAGTATAAACAGATGAAGCGGTGTTGCAAAGAAATAAAATTGCTCAAGGGCCTCTGGGATGTCATTACTTACGTTACAGTAAGACACTGCCTTTTTTTTTTTTAATAGTTCTTTTGTATAAATAGGCAATTTTTAGTGTCTATATCATTCCGTGGGGTTTGTTTTTTTTTTTTTTAGATTTTATTTATTTATTTGACAGAGAGAGAGATAGTGAGAGCAGGAACACAAGCAGGAGGAGTGGGAGAGGGAGAAGCAGGCTTCCCGCTGAGCAGGGAGTCGGATGTGGGGCTCGATCCCAGGACCCTGGGATCATGACCTGAGCCGAAGGCAGACGCTTAACGACTGAGCCACCCAGGTGCCCCCCATGGGGGTTTTATAATGTCTTGAAATCTGTGGGCGTTATATTCCCCTGCCCCCCAAATTAGAATTTGTCTATCTCTGTGAGAAGATTCTTCTCTGAGTTATCAGTTGTTTTCCTTTTGGATCTGAATGAAACTGTATAATGAGTTGACTGCTTCAGATTCTTTTCAGGGATTATGTAGGATATAAATGAAAATAATACTTAAGTATATACTACATGTATATGGTGACCTGTGCATGCAAATTCATGTATATATTCCTACCTACAGGTATGTGCATATATAAGAGACCTGACTGAAGTTAATTTGCATGTTGTTAATTAAGTCCCAAACTTAAATATAAAAATAAGTTCTGGGGAACTAGGTATATTGCAACACATATTCTTCATAATTTGCTTTGAAGTGAGTTGAAAGCCATATAGAGTGTTAAGGGACATAGAATATGGTCAGAAAGTTAATGAGCATTTTGTTGATAATGGATAAAGACTGTCTTATGGAAGCTCATTTTATATTACATGCAGAATTTTAAAACCTGGTATTTAATGGTAATACACTTATCAATTCAGAGTATTCAGGATTAAATGATAATGATAGTATGTAAATGGAATTTGTCACCGCTACTAGAAATTAATATATCATAATGTTTTCACCTTAAGTTTGACATGTCCTGACAACTTTTTTGTTTTGCTGATAGGGAAGTTTTGACTAGTGCAGTTAATATTTAAATAATTGACTTTTCACTGGATGATGGAATCACTGTGTATCATCAGTTTATATATTTTGCTGTGGAGACTTGCTTTCACCAAATGTTGTTGACACTTTTATCTGCTTGTGCGTTTTCAGAGAAGCATTGATAATTGGACTAAAACCCCGTGGAGACAGATTAATGTGGAACAGATGGATGTAGAACTCAGAAGGTTTGCCAAGGCAAGTTCCATAACTGTCGATTACAACCATTTCTCTTTCTCAGCCCCACCTCCTTCCATCTTGCCTAACCGAGTATCTGGTATATTGGGCTACATGTCCTTATTTACTTCAAACAGGATGATAGTAGACAGTACCTTTTTTTTTTTTTTTTTTAAACCCTGAGCTAGTTGCATTTCTAATCAAGCCTGCCTTTTTTGTGAATGAGTGGATGAAAACATGTTAGGGCAAGTGGATTGATGAGTAGCAGCTATAATCTTGAACTTCCTTTGGCTATCTAGAATGGAGGATGTTAAGATTAAAAGTACCAGGGCTGAGAGGTTAGGCTTATGAAAGCTTTTGAATTCTTTCCTTGGCAAACATTATTTTGTATTGCAGGATACATTTTGAATCTGAGATTTGGGGCGACTAATTGAAGTATGCCCCTTGGGAGTATGTATGGAATACTGTGATCTTTGTTCTTCCTCTTGACTATTCTGAAATCCCACAGGGGCTCAATATATACAGAACGGAGCTGATTTGAATGCAGTGCTTTGGTACCTAGTCATATGCCCTCTAAAGAGGGTAGAACCTCTTCGGATAAAGCCAAAACGCACAGAAGTAAAATGCAGCTAAAAAGTGGCAGGGCCGTTGGCTTTTTTTCTCAGAACGTGTTTGCGTCAACTCATGAGGTTTCCTCATGGGACCCCCAGTGAGAGCCTGTGAATAAGAAACCAGTGTATCCACATGGCTTACACACACGAGAACTTGTGATAGACAGATGAGTGGATCCTTTTCTATTTCTCTGGTTTTAGCCCTTAACCAAGGGGCTTAAATGCTTCTATTCTTTCATAATCCAGGGAAAGGTAGATTTATTCTTTCATGGAACACAAATTAGGAAATGTACTAATATATCTGGGGATCTGTTTTTTTGTTTGTTTTTACTTTAGGAAATCTGGTCACTAGACAAGGAAGTCCGTGTTTGGGATGCTTATGCAGGCCTGGAAAGCACGGTGAAGGACATGGCGGCCTCCCTGAGAGCTGTCATGGAGTTACAGAGCCCTGCTCTCAGAGGCAGGCATTGGCACCAGCTGATGAAGGCCACTGGGGTCAGTTTCCTGAGTCTTGTTAATTGAATATTTTTGTGACTGTGGAGAGTTATTCCTTGGTTTACATTGTTCATCTGGGATAAAGTGGATTTGTGAAAAGACTTCAAGTCAAATGGGGGAAGTCAAGCTCCTCAAGATAGAACCCACAGACTGACCATGCAAAGATCCTCCTTCAGCCCCTCCTGTGGACTAAAGCCACAGGAGGCTTCATACATTGAAGCCTAAATCTCTAATGTGATGGCATTTGGAGGTGGGGCTTTGGGGAGATAATTCGGTCAGGAGGGTAGAGCTCTTATGAATGGGATCAGTGCCATTAGAACCAGATGGAAAGAGCAGAAATTTCTACCCTCTGCCATGTGAGGGTACAGCAAGAAGACAGACATCTGTAAACCAAGACAGCCTTCACCAGGAAGCCATCGATGCTGGCACCTGGTGTCGCACTTCCAGCCTCTAGAACAGTGAGCAAGTAAATGTTCATTGTTTAACCCACCCCGTTTATGGCATTCTCTTACAGCAGTTTGAACTAAGACGCCCTCCTTTTGTCTTTTACTGACTATGTAACTTCAAACAAGACACTTAACATCCCTATTTTGAGTTTTGTTTTTTATTAATAAAAAGAGTGGATGCTGTGTGCTCTCCTTCAGCAGAGGAATCTCGTAAGGATCAAGTGAGAGGACGTGAGGGCCTTGTGTAGAGCACAGCGTGGCCACAGAGAACCTCAGTCACAGGCTGGGGAGAGCCAGAGAGGGCTACAGCTACCAAGAAGCAGGGACTGGGTATTAGCAGCCGCAGGAAAGGAAGGGGCTTTCCTGTAACTGCGGGGCAGGGTCGGCTGGCTCTTCAGGGGTGAGGGGTGCGGTTGAGTTTGAGCACTTAGGAAGAGAAGAGAGCTTCTCAGTAAATACTGGGGTTGTGCGGGGGGTGGGGGGGGTGGGGGGGTGGCAGTCAACAAGATGATGAGGAAATAAATGTGAATTATTTTGTCACATGATAAATATGAATAATGATACTATGAGTAAGAATATTTTTTTGCCAAGGAACTCAGATTAAATTAGTGAGAAAAATAAGTTAAATCACGGAAGCAACTAGGAATTATGTCCAGGGAATAGAATACTTGAGGAAGAAAAGACAAATGAGCTACTCGCTGATTCCTGGGATGTCAACCAAATTAAAATAAATGAACACTGTGATTCTCTTTAAAAATGGGTTTTGTGGGCAAAGAGATAAGAAATGAGCTGACAAGGGAAGGATATGAAACAAAAGAAAGTAGTGGAGTGTGAATGTGGGCCTGAACCTTGGCCCTAGCTTCTGGTGGGTGATGCCTCAGTAACTCTGAGTTAAAAAGCAGTGTCTTTAATGGTCCCCACCTTCCAGAACTAGAGGTGTGCTCAGCAGCTGACTTGAATATATTTAGCTGTGATTCATCCTTCTGGCCTTTAGGCACAAGAACCATTAACACACGTGTGATGTAAATTCTGCCCTTTTCTCTTCCTAATTAGGTCAGATTTTCTATCAACGAAGCCACGACTTTGGCAGATTTGTTAGCATTGCGGTTACACCGAGTGGAAGATGATGTCCGAAGCATTGTGGACCAAGCTGTGAAGGAACTGGGGACGGAAAAGGTGGTGTCTTCGGGCTGTTCCCTGTTACACTGAACTAGTTCTCTGCAGTAGCCCCTAAGACTCGAAGTTCCCCACGCCGGGGCTTGTGTGCATACACCTGAGGCCCATTTTCTTCTCCACTGCTAGTGTGTGTGTGCCTTGGGCCGGAAACTGAATCCTTCTAAGCCACAGTACATGTGTAAAACAGGAGGGTGGGCCCAGTCGGTGGTGATGGCGGGTGGTGGTGGTGATGGGGGGCCGGCGGTGATGGGGGGGCGCGGCGGTGATGGCGGGGGGCGGCGGTGATGGCGGGGGGTGGTGGTGATGGGGGGCGGTGATGACGGGTGATGGTGGTGGTCGTGGTGGTGGCGGTGGTGATAGCAGAGAACACTTACATGTCATTTATTTTGTTGCAAGCACTGCTCTAAGCACTTTGTATTATTTCATTTGATTCTGAGGTTGGTAATACTCGTAGCCCTGTCTTACAGAGGAGGAAACTGAGGTACAGCGTGGTAACTGACTCACTCCGATTCACATTCAGGCTCTCCGAGCACTACCTGGCTCCTGCTGGCCGATGTGTACATAATCTCTGTTAAAAACAACCTTCAGATAACTTTTGAAGTCCCTTTATGCTCTGGCATTCTGTTTCCGTGAAGGATGTAAAACTCAGATCCAACAGACATTTGATAATAGGGTGATGCTTGTTTTTGGGGGATGGAATTCATTCTCTGAACTTCATGAATTATTTGCAGGAAAAAAATGAGGCCAATACTATTGGGTAACATTTTTTTTGAGAATTAAAGAATTTTTTTTTTTTAATTTCAGATGATAGCCTAGATGTTCGTCATAAATTAAACTTTTGTGCACATAACTTAATGCTGTTTATGTCTAGGCTATTACTGAAATCAGTCAGACCTGGGCATCCATGGAGTTCTCTTACGAAGTTCACTATCGGACGGGCATTCCATTACTAAAATCCGATGAACAACTTTTTGAGACTCTAGAGCACAACCAAGTAAGATGGGTGTTTTGATTACAGATTTTTTCTTTTAAATGGCAATTTCAGAATTTGTCTAAGTTCCAGTACTCAGTATTCATTCATTCATTGGGTATCTCCTTGTCCCAGACTCTGGGCATGGTACCGTTTGGGATCAAAAGGTATGAACTTGGACTTGAGCAGGGCTCCAAGAGACAGAGAGGCTTTGTGTTGGGGAGGGTGAAAGACTCAGGGAGAGCCTTGTGAGTTGGGCTGGTAAGTCCGTAAAGAATGGCAGTGAGAGATGGGTGTTTGGGGCAGTGGGGACAGCAGTGGTTGTCAGGGCCTGGGGAGTTGGGGAAATGTGGAGATGTTGGTCAAAGGGCCCACATTTCCAGGTATAAGATGAGTAAGTCCTGGGGATCTAAAGTATGTCACGGTGACTATAGGTAACAGTACTGTATTGTCCACTCGAAAGTTGTTAGGAGAATAGACCTGATTACCACACCCCAAAAGAGGTTATTCCATGAGGAATGGAAGTGTTAAGGAACCTTATTGTGGTTACCATTTTACTATATATATATGTATCACAGTATTACGTGGTACATTTTAAACTTCACAGAACATGTCAATAATAGCTTAAATTGGTTCTGGGGGAGAAGAGTCAAATGTACTAAATAGTTAGAGGTGAGAGTGAGAAGAGGCCTTTCTACTCAGTGACTTTCTGAGATCTCAATGTCAGAGAGTGGTGGGAAGTGCTCACCAGACTGCTCGGCATCCGTGCTTGGTAGTCAACTGAGAGGGGAGGAAAAATGGAAGCTGAGGGCTTAGGAAGCTACAGAGAAGTTGGTTTTATTTTTGTAGTACTGGGGAAAAAATATTTATACCTTGCAATGGTTAATAGGCATGGACCCCAAGGAAAGAATGAGAGAAGATGAAGGAATAAAATTTAATTCCTGAAGCTGCACCCTGGAGCACAGTATTTTTTTCTGCCTATGGAGAGATACATGGTCCTCTGGTAGAAGACACAAGAAATGCAGTTTCTTGTATTTATCTTTTTTCTTTTGGAAAACATGCCAATATGAGTATTTAATGCCATTAGTTCATTTATTTAGCCAATACTGAATGCCTGTTTCAGGTATTGCATGCTAGATCCTAGAAATCTAGGAATCAACAGAAGAGAGGTATGGTCCCTCCTTCATGGTACTTGCAGTCTTCCAACTGACTTGTTATTTAAAATTCTTTTTCTTTCTTTTAGGTTCAGTTGCAGAGTCTGCTTCAGAGCAAGTATGTGGAATATTTTATTGAACAAGTGTTAAGCTGGCAAAATAAATTAAACATAGCAGACTTGGTCATCTCCACTTGGATGGAAGTCCAGCGAACTTGGTCTCACCTGGAAAGCATCTTTGTTTGTTCAGAAGACATTCGAATCCAGCTTGTGAAAGATGCTAGGAGATTCGATGGAGTGGATGCTGAATTTAAGGTTCATAGAAGATACTGTTTTCTATCCTAGCAGAGTTTTCCAAACAAGAAAATCTTGTGAAAAACCATGGTTTGGGGTATCGTATTTATAAAAGCACAGTGTTGCATTTTAGGGAGCGGTGCAGGATGCTTGCTCTTGTGAAGTATTCCAGGCTTCGCGGTCGTGTATGGTTTCTGTCACCACTGCTCAGTGCTGCCATTGTAGTATGAAAGAGAACAGACACTAGGTAAACAAACGGGCGTGGCTATGCACCAGTAAGACTTTATTTATCGACACTGAAATTTGAGTTTCTTAGAATTTTCATGTGAGACAGAATATTAAGCTGCTTTTGACTTTTTTTCCACCAGTTAAAAATGTAAGAACCATTTTTAGCTTCTGGCCATACAAAAAGCAACAGCAAGCCTGATATTTCCATTAAGCCCTGCAGTGAGGTGTGATAACATTAATCTTCGTGAAGTAAATACTGCGGAGGGGATACCAATAACAGTACTATTAGTTACTTGTTTGTTGATTTTATAAGAACCAAAGAAAACACACAGAGATGTACATATGATAATGATGAGTGATTTGAAAGACTTTCAGCAAGGAATAATGGCTATAGTTTTTCATATAGAAATGAGGAATAACTTTTCTTTTTTATTGAAGAAGAACACCTGGAGGAATACTATTTTAACTTTTAAGGAAGAAAGAATAGACTGTTCAGTGTTCATCTCATTTTCATATGTGAATGTCCTCTTTGAGATTCTGGGTTCTCTCTCTCTCTCTATTCTTTTTGTTTGGACCCAGAATGGTGGTAATGCCTATCCAATTTATTTTGATAAGAACTGTGTGATTATACTTTGTTTTTGATCTTCATTTAAAAGTTTAAAAGCAAAAGTGAATAGGCATGGTGTTAGAAGTCTCTTTAACCTTACTTTCTTAGAGTTTGTTCCTCATTTTTAAATGCCCCAAATGGATGAAAAATTGAGAAAAGTAATTTCTAATATCAATGGCTCCATCTTATACTTTCATACAGGAGTTAATGTTGAAAACAGCTAAAATAAAGAATGTTCTAGAAGCAACATGCAGACCTAATCTCTATGAAAAACTTAAAGATTTACAGTACAGGTAAGAATAAAACTATGAAGTGATCAATTTGTTATAATTTTATGAGATTGCTTTCAAGTATTTTACAGTATCTAACATCGTGTTATTGTAGATAGATCTGTATCAGATTACTTCATAGTTTTGCTTAGAGTTGTCTAGTTGCCTTGGGCAGAATAGATGGTGTGTGTATGTAGAGTATTGATAAGTTTGATTGATCACTCATTAAGCATCTACTCTATTCCAAGAACTTGGATTGCACTTAGTAATTTCATATCGTTTATTCTGTATATAGTTTATACTAGAAATTACTCTTAGGAAGCCAGTTAGTACTTAGGAAATCCTTAGGGGCCTTTTGTAATTTCACATAGAATTCTACACAGCTAATGGTGGTTAGGATATTCTGGCTTTTGATTAAAAAGGGGCAGATAGCTACTGAATGAAGAGGTTTGTGCAGAATTTTGATCACTTTTTATTGCAAGGTAGAAAAGAGCTTTAGATAAAAGAATATTACATAAGCAAAATTATTTCATAATCTGTAAATTTTTTAGAGATAAAGTTAGCCATAATTTTAAGAGTGGATTTCCACCAAAGTTAATTATTTCTTCTTTTTTAAAGAAGTTTATTTAAGTAATCTGTATACCCAGTGCAGGGCTTGAACTCATGACCCTAAGATCAAGATTCACATGCTCTTCTGACTGAGCCAGCCTGGCGCCCCAGAAGTTAATTATTTCTTAGTGATCTTGGGGACTTGGGAGTTCTGCCTCTGGGTCATCTCTGCTAAGAAGGATAAAGCAGAAATGATTCTGACTCCTAGGACTCCTCTGAATACCAGAGGGAGCTGAAGCCATGTGTGTTCTCTAGGCACTCAGTGGGTAAAGGAAGACCTTGAACCAAATACATCTTAACGAATGCATTTTGTGCTCAGGATGAGTGATGCCGAACCTAGTTGCCCTTGCTGAGTAAGAATGTCATTAAGAAAAGTGAGGAGTGGGGCACCCAGGTGGCTCAGTCGGTTAAGCATCTGGCTCTTGATTTCACCTCAGGTGGTGGTCTCAGGGTTGTGAGATCGAGTCCCACCTGAGACTTTGTGCTCTGCTGAGAGTGTGCTTGAGATTCTTTCCCTCTCCCTCTGCCCCTTCTCTCATGCTTGCTCGTTTTCTGTCTCTCTCTCTCTCAACATAAAGAAATATTAAAAAAAAAAAAAGTGAGGAGTGACATCAACCTAAGTCTAATCTGTATTTAGCCTCAGCCCATGGTGTGTGTGTACCTGTCTCCTCCTTGGCATGACTTGTAGATTATTCACAAGCAACATGATGGTGTCAAAGAGGAGTCAGGCTACGTGTTAGACAGTAAAGCTTATTATGGTGAGTGGACAGATGAGAGGAGCTGGGTTTACTTTTGTTGATGTTTTACTAACTGAATGGGCAAGATAGGCTTAAAAAGAGTTTTCATTCCCATAGGCTTTCTCTTTGTGAAAAAGCTCTCGCTGAGTACCTGGAGACCAAGCGTGTGGCTTTCCCACGGTTCTATTTCATCTCTTCTGCAGACTTACTTGACATCCTCTCAAAGGGAGCTCAGCCTAAGCAGGTAATGGATATTTTTTGAAAGTCTCATATTCTACTACATTTACTAAGGAATGTCATTGTCAGATGCCACCTACCTTGTCACATGCGTCAGGAACTAGAAAATTGGCAATAAAAACTTATAATGCAGCAACAGAAGGATGTCAGAGCTGGTGCTAAAGGAACCCCAATCCGTGGGGCACCTGGGTGGTTCAGTCGGTTAAGCGTCCGACTCTTGATATCAGCTCAGGTCTTGATCTCAGGGTCATGAGATCAAACCCCCACCGGGCTCCACATTGGGCGTGGAGCGTACTTTAAAAAAAAAAAAAAAAAAAAAAAGGAACTGGGTCCTCAAGTGAAAGTGTGCAAGGTTTAGTGACCTGCAAGAAGTTAGTCATCATTTCTCTCACCTTCATTTCTCTTTGAACCTAAATTTGGTGGGATGGCTCTTCTTGCTGTCGACAATATGTGTGCAGTCTGCTATTAATGACAGACTTGTCAGTCAGACTTGGGCAACATTTCTGGGGTCAACCCTCAGTTATGGTTTCTTATATCCATGCTAATTTCCAGATGGCTTTGTAAATAAAATCCCTCTGATTACATTGACTAGCAATCCGGTATATCCATCTCTCATTTACATATCACACAACTGGATGTTTGGAGTGTTGGGTTGTTTTTTGTTTTGTTTTGTTTTGTTTTTAATTAGTCTCAAAGAGAATAGTCATAACCACACTTAAGTTCAGTAGCCTCCTGGGAACATTCTCATGACCAGAAGCTGGGTCCTCGTGCGTGATTGTGAGGTAGAAGGTACCATATTCCATTACAGGTATACGTTCCCAAGGTCTTTGAAATCCAAAATCCAAAATTACAATTCTGAATTCTCAGTACATAAATTTGAAGAGGTGCATAAATCTATACCTAGGATAATTGGTTTTCTTTTAATTACACCCTTTAAATATAATAAATATTTGTATGACCTGTTTATTGAACAGTGTTAATTCCAGAGAGTAGAGACATGAAGTTGTATTAGCTATGATTTTGAATCGCAAATGGGCCCCGCTGAATCTCCGTGAACTGAATAGCAGACCCCTTAATTACACTCTGGGTAGGTATCTTACATCCTGGTCTCTTTTTCTTACTTTAAAAAAAAACAAAAAGCAACTCAGCAAGGTCTCGTTACAAACCCAGTCTTACCTCTGTGTTGAGGCCAGGCTTTCACATAATAAATTTGGAATTGGCAGGGAGACACTGATAATTTTATTCCACATGCCCTTCCCACCCATTGATCATGGAGAGGAGGTGGGACCACCATCTGTCAGTCATTGGCGTTTCTTCTTGCTTGTTCTTGATCCTTTCACCAGCACTGACTGACTGTTCTCTGTCCTCAACAGCAAGCATCAACGTGTTGGGTCTCTGGTGGAAAATGGGGGCAGAGGGAACCTCCTACAGGGTATATACTGCAGAGTCAGCTCTGTCTTGGCGCTTCCAGTTCTTTTTTTTTTTTTTTTTAAAGATTTTATTCATTTATTCATAAGAGACAGAGAGAGAGGCAGAGGGAGAAGCAGGCTCCCCGCCGAGCAGGGAGCCCGATGCGGGACTCGATCCCAGGACCCTGGGATCATGACCTGAGCCAAAGGCAGACGCTTAACCGACTGAGCCACCCAGTTCTTGCTCTGGGCAGTGAAATCAGCCATTGGGTTACCTCTTCTTTTTCCTTTTCCTCGTCAGCAGATGGCCAGCAAGGGTCATGTCAAAGATGGACTTCCTGCAGGTACCTGTAGCTTCTATGAGTGAGTGGCCCACACCTCTCTCACTTGATGACTTAAGGGTTAGGTTTGGGTGAAACAGTCCTTCACCTGCCCCATAAGGAGTGAGGAAAAGCCACAGCACCCCTCATGGGCCGATAGCTTGCAGGCGTGAGATGGCCACCTCTAGTCCCCTCCGCCCTGTGGAACTAGCTATAGAAACGGGGGGGTGGCAGTAGAAGATGGTAAGGGGTTGAGCTGTGTCTGACAGGCCCTGGAAGGACTAAGCGGTCCTGACCCATTTGCTGTCCTCAGAACATGCACATACCCAGTGCGTCTTGGTCCTTACTGGAAGCCCTAGGCTGCTGCTGAGGGAACAGCTCACTACTGTACTTGTCACTTTACCTCCTTTCAAAGAATCAAGCAATGCTTCACACCTTAGCCAGACGACATGCTGGCTCGCCGGAACATGCATCCCCAATGCCAACTTTTTTTTCTTTTTCATTATCCTTTCTAAGTCGTAGGATGAGTTGTTTTTTTATGTATATAAACTTCAAAGGTGTACCTTTTAGGTCATTCAGTTTATGTTTTCAGTATCCCTTCAATATTGGAGTGTTCTCTAACATCCCTGGGACTCACTGTGGAAGCCCTCTCACTGTTCCTTCTAGCTTCGTAATCAGAAGTTTGACATCTCCAGTTCGGGTACATTGCTCAGTCCTAGTACAACTACCACTCCTTAGTGAATGACTAGATAGTCTAAGACATCAAAAAGATTTTAAATTAAAATGAAGCTGAATATTAAGATCACAGCACAGAGGTCTCCCAAACTGCTCACAGCCTTGCTGATGAATGCCCCCAGCAGTGCTGTCTACCCTGTGCTAGCCAAAGGACGTGGGTCCGCAGAAGGCTCCGCGATGGTGCCTGGTGGGTGCAGGTCGTTAAGTGTCCAACTCTTGGTTTTGGCTCAGATCAAAGCCCTGCATCTGGCTCCACGCTCAGCACGGAGTCTGCTTGGGACTCTCTCCATCTCCCTCTGCCTGCCCCCTGACCCACCCCACCCCCACCAAGTAAATCTTTTTTTTTTTTTTTAAAGATTTTATTTATTTATTTGACAGAGAGACACAGTGAGAGAGGGAACACAAGCAGGGGGAGTGGGAGAGGGAGAAGCAGGCTTCCCGCCAAGCAGAGAGCCCGATGTGGGGCTCGATCCCAGGACCCTGAGATCATGACCTGAGCCGAAGGCAGACGCTTAACCACTGAGCCACCCAGGTGCCCCCCCGCCAAGTAAATCTTAAAAAAAAAGGGTCCAGCCATGTGGCTACAGTGTACACATGGTTTATAGATGTCCTGACCTGTCAGCTTTTGAAAGGATTAGATTTTTTTACTCTGATTTTCCCCTCAATTCTGCAGCATTTCTTAAATTTAAATTCAATTAATTAATATATAGTGCACTATTAGTTTCAGAGGTAGAGTTCAGTGATTCATCAGTCTTGTGTAACACCCAGTGCTCTTTACATCACATGCCCTCCCTAATGTCCATCCCCCTGTTACCCAATTCCCCACCCGCTCCACTCCAGCAGCCCTCAGTTTGTTTCCTATGATTAAGAGTCTCTTATGGGGGCGCCTGGGTGGCTCAGTTGGTTAAGCAACTGCCTTCGACTCAGGTCATGATCCTGGAGTCCCGGGATCGAGTCCCACATCGGGCTCTCTGCTCAGCGGGGGGTCTGCTTCTCCCTCTAACCTTTCCCCTCTCATGCTCTCTGTCTCCCATTCTCTCTCTCAGATAAATAAATAAAATCTTAAAAAAAAAAAAAAGAGTCTCTTATGGTTTGTCTCCCTCTCTGATTTCATCTTGTTTCATTTTTATCCTCCCTTCCCCTATGATCCTCTGTTTGGTTTCTTAAATTCCACATATCAGTGAGATCATATAATAGTTGTCTTTCTCTGACTTATTTTGCTTAGCATAATACCCTCTAGTTCCATTCACATCATTGTAAATGGCAAGATTTCATTTTTTTTGATGGCTGAATTATATTCCATTGTATATATAAACCACGTCTTCTTTATCCCTTCATCTGCCGATGGACATCTGGGCTCTTTCCATAGTTTGGCTATTGTGGACATTGCTGCTATGAACTTTGGGGTGCAGGTGCCTCTTCTTTTCACTACACCTGTATCTTTGGGGTAAATACCCAGTAGTGCAATTACTGGGTCGTAGGGTAGCTCTATTTTCCACCTTTGGAGGACCCTCCATACTGTTTTCCGGAGTGGCTGCACCAGCTTGCATTCCCACCAACAGTGTAGGAGGGTCCCCCTTTCTCCGCACCCCCGCCAACATCTGTCGTTTCCTGACTTGTTCATTGTAGCCATTCTGACCGGGGTGAGGTGGTATCTTATTGTGGTTTTGATTTGGATTTCCCTGGTGCCAGTGACATTGAACATTTTGAAAGGATTAGATTTTTTATATTTTTGCAATTGATACTTTAAATTGTGCTCAAAAAGTGATTTCACTGAGGTCTTAATGAAACTTCTAACAATTCAAATTCACATAAAATGGTATCCCACTGTTAGTAAAGGTGCATTATTTAAAAAGGTGTTTCACTTCCTCTGTGATGCAGATATCCACTCGGGAGTGACTAAGGTGGACAGGGAAGCTAGAAGGAGTTAAGGGCAGTCTGAGTCGCTTAGAGCCACAATCCACTTCTTTCCCTGACGTGGTTCTGCAGAGTGAAGATGCCTTCGGAATTCTTGGTCACTTACTAGGCAGTAGTTAGTTAATGGCTTTGGCAATTAAACCAAAGAGGCTGGTCTTGCTACACTCTTACCTTCTTTTCAATATCGGAATCCTATTTGGACCACCAGACACAGCTTTTCCGCCTTTGCCTTTTGTCCTTAGATTCCTGAATGTGCTCCCTGCAGTGTGACCAAAATTACATGGCCACTGCAGCCTGTGGAATAACAATGCAGTTTGGCCAGAAAAGAAATCCTTTGTGGGGCGATAACTCATGTTGACATCTTGTGAATGACTTGAATTCTTCAGCCACCCTCCCCTCCACCTGCCACACTCAATTTAAGAGTGTTGACCAAAATGGGAGTTTCTGCAGTTAATTATGGAATTTGATCAGCCTGAACTCCTCAGCCAGGGAGGTCTGATATCCCTACAACCTCCATCCCATAAGCAGAAATTCCCTAGTGAGTTGGAATGCCAGAGGGATGAAATCAGTGTGTCTAGAGTGCCTTCGGTGAGGATTAGCTGCTGGGAACTTGGTTAAGATCAAGT